AGTCTCCTGCCTCAGCCTCCCAAGTAGCTGGGACCACAGGCGCCTGCCACAATGCCCGGCTATTTGTTGGTTGCAGCTGTCATTGTTGTTTGGTGGCCTGGGCTGGATTCGAACCTGCCACCTTAGGTGTATGTGGCTGGCGCCTTAGCCACTTGAGCCACAGGCGCCGAGCTGAGTATATTCTTTATTTATTTATTTTTTGCTCTTTCAAAAATCAACATAATTTAAGTGTGCCGCAGAAGTTTAACTATAGGTTCTGGTATGCTGTGAGATAAAAAAGGTTGAAAAACACTGCTCTAAACTACCAATTACCTCTCAAGATTAACATAAGACTAAGGTAGTCCTTGTCCTTCTTCATTTGTATCAGTGGTTTGATCTGATACAATAGGGTTTGTTGGAATTTTCAAAATGGGAAATGTATCAGGAATATTCATTTATTTAGATGACCACAATTGAACTGCAGTCTCAACTAGCTGTAAAGTTTATTCTTTTTTTTCTTTTTTATTGAATGGTACACATTAATGCACTTCTGGGGTACAGTGTGGCGTTTTCACACACAATCTGAAACACTTCCATCAAACTAGTTAACATAGCCTTCATGTCATTTTCTTAGTTATTATTTTAAAATGTTCATATTCTACTCTTAGATTCACTTGTACCCTTGTAAGATAAACCTCAGAAGTGATCCCTCCAATCCTCCTCTCCCCACCTATTTCCCCCCTTATCCCTCCCCCCTCCCCAGTTTATTCTTATAGAAACTTTACAACCTGCGTTTGGAGATTGACATTTCTTGCAACTTTATTCATTTTTTTTCTCCCTAACCCCTAAACTGAAGAATAAGGAGACTGAGCATACGTTCCTGGAATGAAACATGACTGGAAACTGGTCTTTTCTTAAAATCACACCCCCTGTATAAACACAGGTTTATACATGTGCTGAGATAAAGTTCATTACTGAGCACCTACCATGTACAGGCCTGTGTGCCATTAAGAAAAGGCTGACAGACGATATTAACAAGTTTTGGCCTCTGATTTTAATTGGGAGAAGTTTCTCCTAATTCAGGTATTCCAAAGATTGATTAGGGAGGTAATTTTAGATGTACAGTACAAATATTTTGTTACTTGTGATTAACGTGCATCAGAATGGCCCATCAAAACCATGACTTACAGTGATTTAGATTTTGTGTGATATACAGCTTCCTTCCAACAACTGAGTTACAAAAATTTTAAGGTGGCTTAA